AATCCCCAGACTTGTTGTTGTTCAGCAGGGAGAAGACATAGAAAGAAAAAGTGATTCAAAACCGAAGAGAGAGGTGGAGACACAGACACACAGACAGAGACACAGAGACACACAGACAGAGACAGGGACACAGAGACAGGGACACAGAGACACAGATACAGAGATACAGAGAGACACAGGGACACAGGGTCACAGAGACAGACACAGAAACAGACGCAGAGACACAGAGACAGAGACACAGACACAGGGACACAGAGACAGACACAGAGACACAGACACAGGGACACAGAGACAGACAGAGAGACACAGAGACAGAGAAACAGGGACACAGAGACAGACAGAGAGACACAGAGACGCAGAGACACAGACACAGGGACACAGACAGACACAGAGACACAGACACAGGGACAGACACAGAGACAGACACAGAGACACAGACACAGGGACACAGAGACAGACACAGAGAGACAGACGCAGAGACACAGACGCAGAGACACAGACAGACACAGAGACACAGGGACAGACACAGAGACAGACACAGAGACACAGACGCATAGACACAGACACAGAGAGACAGATACACAGAGACACAGACACTGACACACAGAGACACAGACACTGACACACAGAGACACAGACACTGACACACAGAGACACAGCGACAGAGAGACAGACACAGAGATACAGAGAGACAGACACAGCGACAGAGAGACAGAGACACAGACACAGACACACAGAGACACAGACACACAGACACACAGAGACAGACACACAGAGACAGAGACACAGACACAGGGACACAGAGACAGACAGAGAGACACAGAGACAGAGACACAGGGACACAGAGACAGACACAGAAACAGACGCAGAGACACAGGGACAGACACAGAGAGACAGATACACAGAGACACAGACACTGACACACAGAGACACAGCGACAGAGAGACAGACACAGAGACACAGAGAGACAGAGACACAGACACACAGAGACACAGACACACAGAGACAGAGACATAGATGCAGAGAGACAGACACAGAGACACAGACACACAGAGACACATACACACAGAGACACATACACACAGAGACAGAGACACAGCGACAGAGAGACAGACACAGAGACACACAGAGACAGACACAGAGACACACAGACACACAGAGACAGACACAGAGACACAGAGACACAGACACACAGAGACAGACACAGACA